TTGAAGGATTTGCTGTCCCAAATTAGCTATATCTACAGTGTGATAGCTAAAGTCAGGGGAAAATGAATCATACAGAATTGGACGGGTTTTTTTATTTGTTTGTTTGTTAGAAAGAAACTAAAGATAATACTAGAGCTCAGCCCTCCAAGGACATGTGATTTACACAGGGTTTGCTGTAAATCAAAGTTTGTTATTTTTATTTCCTATGTTTTAGTTCAAAAATATAGCTTTGCATCTGGCATATCATGAGAAAGAGGATCTCACCTAAATCTCCTGGAGCAGAGCCTGATCACAACCAAATAAAGCACTTCTAAACCAGCTGCTGATCGTGAGTTGAAGACATCGAGCAAGAAGACATCTGTCTCTTTGCACAATAATTTTTTTCCAGTGCTTAATCATTCTTGTTGAATTTTTCTGCCGTGTGATCTGTCCTCTACACTACAGGTCACCTCCCACAGCTATCAGTGGGAAATATCCTTCAAGGGCCTTCATTTTGTAACCTCCATTTCATAAGCACTGTGGCCAAATCAACAAGAGAACTGAAAAACGCTGCTTGTTTCTTATAAAAAGAGACCTGTGTTCAGCTCACAATAGCAGCACATACAACTGAGCATGCTGTCAGCTGCTGAAGACCCCTACAAGGAGTCAGAAATGGCATTCATACTTTGATTTTCGCCGGAGGCAGGAATATGTGTCCTAGTCCAGGTGCCTCCCAATAAGTCAGGGGACAGCTCTAATAAAAAGCTGTATCTGAAATGTGTGTTAAGTAAGAAATCAGGATGAGTCCGACACTCTAACACTGCTGTACATATTTTGCTCTCCTTTGATGGGAGCATTCAGCAACATCCACCTCCATTTGGCAGAGTCTAAAGGCTCTTCTTCTGCATGTAGGAACAGGGATTTTGTTAAGCCAAGCAGTTTGTTCTCTCTGGCCTTCAGGTCACCCAGTTTCAACTAACTGCCTGCGTCCCTGACTGATACAAAGAAGGAAGGAAAGGGAATCGTTCAGCCACAGCATGCCCTACAGCTCATAATGGACTGAGAAAAGGTATTTCAATTATTTTTGAGTATTTTGGGCTTTCTCAGTTATCCAGAGAAGATCTATTGCGTATCGGGAGGATGAAAATGCAGACTGCTGATCCAACACACAGAACATAGAGCCATTTTTCTCACACAGAACAACTCTGGCTGGCAAGGAAAAGCTGCTAGTTCCCTTGGCTGTATCAGCCCTTGTGTCCTCAGGGGACTCAGCTCCCGTGGATCTCCTCTGGTCTGGAGAGCATCCCAGTGACTCTGTGTGGTAGCAGAAGCTCTGTCAGCATAGGGTCTCTGCCCTGAGAAACCTCTGCAATAAAGCCCATTTCCTGAAGTTCTTATACAGTGTCTTGAACTTACATAAATTGTGGCGCTTTTTTTAAGGAACATTAGTGAACTCCTGGAACTGAGAATAATGGTGTCATAGCAGGGCATTCATTTCCTACAAAGAAAATCCGTTTTAACAGCTAAGTTCCATAAACACTGCTTTCACCATAAAAACAGCAGACTTGCTGCATGTTTCTTGGGAAAGCTGCTTGTTTATAGATGATGTTATTTGTCTTCTGCATTCTGAGTGAGTCCTGCAGGAGTCAGGACAAGCAGACAGAGGTATTTCATATTTCACACTGATGGCCCTTAGAGGAAAGAGGGAAAAGTTTACAGAGAAACAGCCAGGCTATTTCTCTGCCTCCAGCTTGGAAGATAGCCAAAAACAACACCAGCCATGGAGCAGCTCCAAATCTCTTCTGGGATTTACAGTGTAGAGTTTGTAGGGAGAATTCATCCTGCAGATCCAAGCCTTACAGATGGAAATGGGGCCCCATTTCTCCTCTTGCAGTGTAATTACAGTTGGTCCAGATGATCCTGGGGTAAAAACACTCTAAAACACAGGAACCTCTCAGTGCATGGCAGATCAAAGAGCATATGTTGATGGCCTTTACTAATGGCAGGATTACTACTTATTGCTGCAGTGAAATAATTACAGGCAGAGATTGCTATCACATCAAATAACTACCCTCCCATGCTCATGGAATCATATTTCAGCTTGAATATGACAGGTTTGAGTTCAGTGAAAAGTTATTTGAGTGAAGAGAGTCTCCATGGTCATGCTGGAAGCCTGCTGGGTTTATGTGAAGGCTTCCAAAGCCAGGAGTTTCAGTAACTGCAGTGCAGTGGTTCTACCCTGGTGGCAGGCTCTGAAACTGGAGATTTCTCATCTACACCGATTGTGACACCTTATCCTAAGGACTGAATATTGGGAATGCTGGGGTTTTTTTTTAAAGAGAGGCAGAAAGCCAGTTAGAAACTCAAGCAATGTCAGCACCAAAGTGCAAGTCATTATAGACTCGGTGTAGGAGAAAAAAATACGTACCCATCCACTCCTCATCAAGGCAGCTCTTACTAGAAAAGACAGAGAAAAACGTCCAGGAATTCCCACTTCCAGCTAGCCAGCTGCACACACAGATCTAGCCACAGCAATAGCCAGTTTAAGCCCCTTCTTGAACAGGCAGTCTTGTGAACAGCCTGTGCCACTATCCACGGCATCTCGCTGCCTACCCACAGGACTTTGCTCGTCTCTTGGAGCTGTCATAAGCTCATCTGCTATTTCTTTTCTCTGACCTGAGACTGCCATAGGCAATTACTTTACTTCTTTGCACAGCTTGCAAGCTCTCGGGTTTAACCTCCACATAAAAGAACCAGGAAAAGGTTTTGAAGAGAGAGAAGGTGGTAAGACAGTGCAATGGTCTAAGCAGGCAGTCCTTGGCCAGGTCTTGGCAGAAGAATATATTCCTATATTTCATTGCAACAGAAATGAGACAGATGGATAAGACTCATGATATTCAGGCCCAGGGAATGGATGGAGACAAGACTGCTTGGGGGAGCTGCATTCCTTCACCTCTTAGCCAACTAGAGATGTACTTTGACATGTTGGCCTCTGTCTAAGGAGCCAGAAATGGAATAATCTCCCCCCCTGCCTCAAAGGGTCTCATGACACATCTCAGTGACTAGAATGACCAGGGACACTCCACCTGGTAGACACAGGCTGAAACTCCTGTACACCTGAGGGGACAAAGACCTGCATTAGGTGGTCTCTGCTTATAAGATGCTAAGAAAAAAGGAGAAAGCTGTTGCCTTATACAGAATATGAGTTTTTCTTCCTGAAAGAGATCTACCCAAACCTGGTCTCATTCAGAATAAACAGCAGGAAGAAACTAGAGCTTTCTTTTTCGCATGTATTATTGTTCTTGACACACGCTGCCTAAACTATACATCAGTGGCTCTTAACTTGTATGGTTACATACAGTTTCATCTGTTTCCCCAGCGAACAAATTAGCCTTTGGGAAGCAGTCTCAGGACCCCTGCTACATGCCACAGGCAGCAGACTCGTGGCATCTTGGACTCAGAACCCAACACAGGAAATGTTGTACTTCTGCCACTTAGTGGCTGCAGCTGATGCAGCCCTATATCACTACTTAGAGAATTTCTGGAACAATAAGCAGCTACCATACAAGCCAAACCTATTACACATGGCCTGTCAGCTGCTCTGTCCTGATTAAATGATGGGTAGTTAACAAGGGGAGAGTATAAGACTCACACACTAGTGAAAGATAAGCCAGAAGACAAAGATGAAAGGTCACTGAAGAAGCCATGGTTACCATGGGACGAAACCTTTTCAACTCATTAGAATGTAGCTGGAGCCTCCTGGGGGTAGAGAAGGGCCTTCTACTGTACAGTTATTTAATTTTTAACTAAGATATTAAAAAAGAACTGAGTTTCCATTTTTTACTTCCAAGGTATGACATCCATCCATCATATGAAGGCTCCTCCACCTTGCCTCTGGGAACAACTATGGCAAAGCTCACTTGATTCCTTGATCAATATCTCCCAGGTACAAACCCACATGTAGTCCTTGGTGTAATCAGCCCTCATTGCCCTCAGAAGGGCTCTTCTCTCTGCTCTCTGAGGGAGAACAAGGCTTAAAGAATAGCAGGATAATGCTGTGCGAGAGAGTGCGACAACTCAAAATGAGTCAAGAACATTTTGATCAGGTACTTATTCTTCCCCCAGGAGCTTACTCTCCCATGCCCACCTCCGCATTCAGTTTACCTGCAACACTACGTGTCATGTAGATATATTGCATAGTATGTAATACGCACTTTAATATAGTCTATAATGTAATACATATTATATATTATGCACTTTAGAAGCAAAAAGGTCACATGGCATATGTAAAAGCAAAGCTCTCTACCTCCTGCAAAACAAAAGGTAGACATGAATTTTTGGTTATAAAACTGAGTGCTGTAAGTGTTGTTGTTTGTTCTGTACCAGGTTATGGAGGACGAGACTTCAGCCTTCTCTGCATCAGTGTGCAGTCAGTCCCTTGTCAGCAACAGCTGGGTTGCCTGTGTGTCACCAGGACATAGATAGGAGCACAGTAAACGTGCTTGACGTAACGAGGGATCTGAAAGGTTTAGGATTCATTCATTCCTGTCACTGACAGAACCAAGGGAAGTAGTCTGGTTTGTCATTCGGGTCCTAAATTGGGTTCCAAAACACATATGGGCAGAAGAAAAAGCTGTAGTTTACTCCTGCTTTGATCACAGTTAACTGAACAAATTCCCCAAGTGCTACTGGGCAACTGTGCCAGATGCTTTGAGAGGGAATTTATGCTGTAAACCACACTGGCCCTCAAGAGGGTTTACACAGCTCTGGATCTTGCAGAATCATTTCCCCAAATTGCCATGTGCTTTCAGCAAAATTAATTGAACTGTCTTGCTAATGAGCATGCAGCTCTGTTTTGAGAATGTAAATCAGCTGGCAAAACACCTGCCAAGTCAAGTGTCTTATCCTAATGTAATGGGTGACTAAATACACATTCCTATGCTGGAGATTTAAATAATCCTTTAGAGTACTGCTGAGAGTACCAGAGGCTTTGGCAGACAGAGGAAAACCTACCAAAGAGGATGAACAAGCTGCAAAGACTGGTAAAAACCCATCTATTTAACTATTATTGCTGACAGATTGGGGGTTTTTGTAATTTGATTTTTTTATAAGGTTTTGTAAGTATTGTCAGGGTCTTGTAGAATTATTTGTCCAACTCATCATAGTCCTTAGGATAAAGCTAACAGACTAAGGGCTCTCCTGGCAGCTGTACACCGCCATGGCAGCTGGGACAATAGCACAGAAGCTGGGTGTTAAGGAAGGTTTGGGGAGGTCACCCTGTAAATACAGCTTGGCTCTGAGCACAGAGCTGTCTGGTTGCTCCTGCAGGGAGAGGCAAACCATTCTGCTTTAGCTCATGACCACAAAAGAGCTGTGATACAGGACCTGGCAGGGGATATACTCTATAATGAAAGCAGGGAAATGGGCAGGAGTGTTACATTCCTAGGCACTGTGATTAGAAAAGAAATGTGCTGTGGTAGGGTGAGCAAATCTCTCTTGCTTGGAGAACTAGAATAACTGGGAAGAGTAGATATATAAGGTGTTCAGGTCTCAGTAACAAGACAGGGAAGTGGCATAGCCAAGGGAATTGCAAGTGAAACGCATCCACTTCTAATTGGGACAGAGAGAGTGCTCAGCTTCTTGCTTCAGGGTTGGAACTGTCTGGCTTCATTTTTGTCCTGAGAGAATGTCCTGTCTCAGGCTTGTATGGAAGTTATTTACAGGAAGAGGCTTTGAGGAAAGGAAAAATCTAAGATTATTTGAATTTGTGATTTTAAAGCTGTTGTGGACTAGGCACAACTTTCGTTTTCTTTGGTGGATGTCTCTGTGAGAAAACAATGAGCTCCCCAGCTTTGGGTTATCTAAGTTCTTCTCATGGTCAGTGGGGTCATATTCTTGTAGCAAAACACAGTCTAACCTGAGGTGCCCTGCGCTAATGGGTGAACAGCCAAGCCCGAGCATGGGCTCCTTATGTCACATGCAAAGCTGTCCCACTGGGAGGAGTTTGCAAGCAAGGGGCTGGAAAAGGCTATCCTGGCCCTGGGCCACCCAGAACATTGTGCAGGAGGCGTTGGGCAAAAGACCAGGGGCCCCCAGCAAGCTCAAAGTGGTCTTGAGACGCACGACACTCACTATCAGGGCACAGCTTGCCAGTCACTGGATCTCATACAGATGGGGAAACCAAAGGCACAGGCACAGAATCAGTGTGAACCGAAAAGGATGGGAGGGTGACACAGAGAGAAACCAACCAAAGGGTGATGGGGCTGCAACAAGGAAGGGATGTTCACTGATGGTGAAGGGGAACATGAAGACATGATGCTGCTGACACTCAGCTGTGTTCCTCTACAGCAGCTGTAGGTCAATTTGAAGGCAGTCACAGAGGAAGGTGTCTAGGCAGTAGCAGCAAGAATGAATGACCTAGGGCTTACAAACAAGACAAAGGAGGAAAAATCAACAAATCCGTTTAGAAAGTTTCTACACAGTGTCCCTGGCTCTCTGCAGTTAGCCCTGGTGTTGTTCTGATGAGGGACACCCATTTATACTGTAACATTCAAGGCATCCTACTGCAAGAGGCAAAAAAGATGCATGCTTTTTGCTCACAAGTCTGCCATACTGCTCACTCAGTTGCCATACTGAGGCAGGGCACCTTGTTCTACACCCTCCAAAGAGTTAAGAGACTTTACTTCTATCCCAGCACCCTGATCCCATGATGCTGCATGAAGCAGCCCCATTCATCTGCTTGTGCTTCTGAAGGAACAGCAGCAGTGTTAGATGGCAATGTAAGCAATGGGCAATACTGATGAAGAAATTACCTCAAGGAGATCAGAGCATGGCATAGGACCCACTGTCTACCATGTATTTTACTTACCTTGTAATATGGAACGTGTAGAAAATATTCTGGCTGAATATGCAATTATAGACTGCTAAACACAAGGTCATGTTGGAAGAACTGTGTAATGAGAAAGTTCAGTAAAGAGATGTTGTCTACTCTGAACAACATGTGAAGCAGCATTCCGCGTTAAACTAAAATACGTGTGATTACCGTGAAAAGGTAGAAGAAATAGCATGCCTGTGAATCAGAAATGCAGTGGATATACATGGCCATGGGAAAATCCCCCATATCACAAAGAAGCTCCATCCAGTAGAACTTAGCTAGGAATGAGATAGAAGTCATTAAACTTTGGCAATGCTTCCTGAATCATGTGAGTACAGGTTTTTGTAATGAATTGAATTAATTGAAGCTATAACACCAATCACTACCAGTATTTGCTGGCTTTGCACTGACTTTTTGTAAGCATACATGTTAAATATTAAACCAAAGACACTTGCAGGCCTTTGCCCTAAAGCTCTTCCAAATTCTTTGGGAATGGCAATGAATTATTAATGCAATTCTGCTGTAAAGGGAGATAGTTAAAAAAATTATTGGTTTTTTTTTTCCTGTTTTTGGCACCTCCCATTTTACAACATTCATAGCCTGTTCTAAACTTCACACCACTCAAAATGTGAATAAACCAAATGTCTGTTGAGCCATTTTATTCTGTGTAAAGAAGCCATCCATTTCCTATCCATCTTTTTCAGCTTCAGAGCAAGATCCTGATCCTGACAATATGTGCCGCTGGGATTGGAGGCACTTTCCAATATGGTTACAACATCTCCATCATCAATGCTCCAACTTCAGTAAGTACTGCTAGTCTGAGAGCCCCTTCCTGAGGCAGACGTTTCCTTTGTGTCCTCAGTCTGGCCTGCCACTGAAAATATGCAGCCTGCTAATACTGAGGGTGAGAAAGGAAGGATGTTTTCCTCCCTCTAAGTTGCATCTACGGTACAGGACTTTGTTGTCAAGAGCCTTCCTTGAGCAGGACCTAGTGTCACAAGCATTTCTAAAATTTTGCAACCTGCATCCTTTGAAATTGACTTTTGCCCTTAAATTCAAAGTTGGAGCCATGAAATACTTTTAAGTTAACCAAGATAGCTACATACAGATACAAATCAAGTACAGCAGCTCCAGTTTCACACTCTCAACCCTCTGTTAAAAACACATCTAAGAACTGGAGGCCATTTTCAACCAAAGATTCAGAGACATAAACACAGCATAAGCAGATGTATTGATAAGGAAGCCTTTACGTATCTCAGTATCACTCATCTCTATGTTATGGTTATGCAGCACTGTCCTTCCCTCTCAGTACATCCAGATGTTCATGAATGAAACCTGGCTGGAGCGCACAGGCGTTCCCCTTGAGAGCAACGTAATCCTGCTGCTGTGGTCTTTCACCGTCTCTGCGTACCCCCTGGGAGGGCTCACTGGGGCTGTTGTTGCTGGTCCCATGGCCATCATGCTGGGAAGGTAAGAGGGTGCTGGGTTTTAAGTTAAGCTTTGCAGCTTCCCTTAGTCCATGAGGAATTACAAGCCCTACAGCACAATACTCACAGAGGTTAGAAATCATGAAGACATGTTTTCTATCACAGATGAGTTTGCCATTAACATTCCGAGCTGACAAGGAGGAACTACCTGATATGGCAGTATTTTGTGTCTCAAAACCCAATGGGGGCTCTTTTTTTTTTTTCCCCCCACCCTGATTTTGGACAGAAATTCCTCCTGGGACACATGAAAACTTCCTGACAAAAATTTCATAAGGATAGTACTATTACATGAAAAATGCCTGTTTCAACAAATCAGCATTTTCAGACGAAAGCACACCTGACTTGCTGAAGAAATAAGCTTTTCCATTCAAGTGAGACAGTGCGTGTGACTGCAAGAGTCAGGAATCTGGGGAAGGACCTCATGGTGCCTTCAGCGTGTCTAAATCCAGCACTGCAGGGACACCCTGTGGTCATGCTGGGAGTTGGAGATGATCCTAATGGTATCGGCCTTGCAGATTACCTGCCAATGCCAATTCCTGTTTCATAACAAGACACCAAAACTGCTGATCTGCCATCTGCATACAGACACCTCGTGTAGGTCCCTGAGTAACCTGGATGTTCTGTGGCGGAGCTGAGCAGCCCACCTTGAGCTTCCAGGCACAGAAGGCTGGATCTGCCGTGTGAAATGTTTTATCTCATAACTAAACCTGACACATGTGCTCACAGCTGTGTCTTTTCTCTCTTAAGGAAGATGTCCCTGCTGCTGAACAATGCCTTTGTGATCATAGCTGCAGTCTTGTCAGGATTCAGTCGAATGGCAAAATCCTTTGAAATGATTATGCTCGGCAGATTTTTTACTGGCGTGAATGCAGGTATGGCCACATGAGAAACAGGACAAACATGATCACAGGTATCAATTAGAATGAGAAGATATTTGAATAGGAATGATTCAAGACATTAAAGCAATTAATCCTCTAGTCTGACTACACACATGTACATGAATGAGGAAGTTGTATATATAGATTTTATATTTTACTTCTAAGGACTTTTTTTTAAAGGATACACAGGCAGGTTTTGTTGTGTAACACACATGTGAGTGTCTGTGCACTCTGCACACAGGGAGGGGAGCCATGGGAGAAACTGAGCTGAAAATCAATCCCTATCTGCTTGTGAGAATGTTATCAGTCACTCGCTGACATTAAAGTTTTTCTAGAAGTTCATCCAAGGAAGTAACAATTGGTATAAGTGACTTAAAATATGATCTTCCTGCCAAAATGGGTAACTAGAGGGAAGCACCACTTAAAACCTTGGATTTGGTGCTGCAAAGACCACAGGACTGAGGCTCTGGCAAGTTTGTTTCATTATCAACTAATATTTATGAGTACAGAAATGTATGTTTAGTAGCTTACACAATAAAGAAGAGTGAAATTGAAGGTTTGGGTAAATAACAAGCGCTGGTAGGCCAGTCATCACATGGCCTGCAATGGAAGAGTCCAGATGTCAACCTCGAGAGTTGCTGATGCATTTGTCCCCGTCTCCTCTGGATCCCAGCTGAGATCAACATTTGTCTGCCTTGCCCAGGTGTCAGCATGAACATTCAGCCGATGTATCTGGCAGAAAGTGCTCCAAAGAAGCTCAGAGGTGCTGTGGCATTGACTTCTGCATCGTTTACAGCCCTGGGGTTGGTGCTGGGACAGGTTGTTGGACTCAGGTAATGTAGCACAAGAAGCTGTTTGTACTTACTAAATCTTTCTCCTCCTTTTTCTTTTTTCTTTTTTTTTTTCTTTACTGCCCCTCTCTTTTTCTTTTCCAGTGCCCACATGCAGCAGAGGATGCTGGGCTCTTGCCAGGTTGTAAAATGTACTGTGCAAATTCTGATTTTTTTTCTCTAGGGAGCTACTAGGAGGGGAGGAGAGCTGGCCGTTCCTTTTAGCTAGCAATGTGGTGCCTGCCCTGATCCAGCTCACAGCTCTGCCTTGGTTCCCTGAAAGTCCCAGATACCTCTTGATTGACCGTGGAGATGAAGAATCCTGCATCTCTGGTGAGTGTAGGGTGACTGTGAGCCTCTCGCTGACTATGTGAGATCTGCTGATTAGGCAGATAAACAGCAAGAAGGTTGATTACATATTCGTAATATACAATCCAGTGTGTTCAGTCCAAAACAGATTGGAATGTAGACTTCTTTCCAACACAAATATTCTGTCTGGTGTCTCTACCAGCCTTCTTAGATGAATATAAGAGCTTTAAGCCTAACACCATGGCTGTCACTAGTCCCATGGATCATGTTTTCCTAAACCAGATGACAAGGGTAGGGTCAAAAGGTGGGACTTGTGTTCACAATGGCGAATATGTTTTGTAACTATTAAGTGAAATAAATGCTGGTTGAAGAGCTCATGACCAAATTTGAAGGCAGTTCATAATAAGGGATTTGCTTAGATTTGTAGCATACAAATCCTTGTATACAGAGCGGCTGGAATTAGTTTGCGGGAAAGATGTGCTGTGTACCAAGGGCATCTTAATTGCCTGTGTTTCCCAGGGAAGTCACTTGAGATCTGAGATCAGAACATGGCTGCTGAAATGGCACTGGTTGGAAATATTCTCCTGTGAAACAATGGTGAGGGGTTTGCAGATTTGCACTCCCTTTTCCCCAAATCCCTCCAGGGTCTGCACTACGACTGGCCATGTGTGTGAGGGTAACAGCATGATCACAGACTCTGTCCTACAGCTTTCTGCAGCCGTCACTTGCTGCTCCATTCTTCACCTTGCAGAGCGGGCAAACCAAAGGTAAAGTTCAGGAGATGAGAGATTCCCTTGTCCTTGCAGCGCTGCAGAAGCTCAGAGGCAACAGTGACCTGAGCGCAGAGCTGGAAGAGATGCTGGCTGAACAGGCTGCTGTTAAAGGTCAGAGAGCGAAGAATCCTTGGGAGCTCTTCCAAAACCCAGCTTTGAGGTGGCAGCTGACGAGCATCGTTGTGCTGAGCAGTGCCATGCAGCTCTGCGGCAATGATTCGGTAAGCAGCGCGGCAGCCACAGCGAT